TGCCTTCTTGCCTGAATGGTTTCTGCTGAGAGATCAGAGCTTAATCTGATTTGCTTGCCTTTGTATGTTAAACATCTCTTTTCCCTAACTACTTTGAGGATTCTGCCCTTATCTTTGATTTTGGAGAGCTTGATTATTATATGTCTTGGTGATTTTCTTTTGGGGTCCATCCTTCCTGTGGTTCATTGAGCTTCTTAAATGCTTATCTTGTCACTTTTCAGGATGTTAGGGAAATTTTCTTCCAGAAAATCTTCAACTATCTCCTCTGTGGATTTGTGTGATTCTTCCTGTTCTGGAATGCCAATAATTCTTCATGTTATCCAACATGAATCCTAGACCTTCTTCATATTTTTTTGTCCTTTTTTCTGCTTGCATTTCTATCTTAGTAGTATAGAGAAATTTGTCTTCCAACTCACTAGTTCTGGCTTCCATCTCTTCAGTGCTACTCCTTTGCTCTTTCAGTGTATTGTCCATTTCTGATATTCTATTAGTTGTTTGGTCCTCTTTTTGTAGGTTTTGAATTGTTTCCAATGCTGTATCTATCTTATTTAATTGTTCCTGCAGCACTTTCCTGACTTCTTCCTTATTTTTCTCAACTCCTCTGTATAAAGTGTTTTGATACATTTCATTATCATTTTTCTGAATTCCTTCTCAGGCATTTCCAAAGCCTGCCCTCCTTCCAATATGGAGTCAAGGTCTACCTTCAGCTCATTTGTCTTGTTTCTGGACATGTCCAGAGATGCTCATCTGTTTCTTAGGCATATTCAATAGTTTTCGGTGACCTTCATAGCTTGACTATTTGACTGCAATTGCTGTCTCTACCTGGATAATGTAGGGAGAGAAAGAGCATGCTGTAGGTAAAGAGGGGACCAAAAAACAAATCAGCAGCAGCAAAAAACAGATTGTATACTCTGATCTAAAATTGCAGAAAAAAGAGAAGAAAAAGAACAAAACAAAAATCTGTAGCCAAATATGAGTTTGACTTTAATGCCCCTCTCTCAGCTTCTTGCCTTCAAGGCCACCTGAGAAATTTCAGTATGCTACTCTTGGTCCCCCTTAGACATAACTCAAGATTTAATTTTCAGCCTGTTTCCTTTTTAGTCTGTCTCCCACTCCAAAACCCCCATTCAGGCCTTTTTCCTAATGATAAACAGT